AATATACCTCAATAGTGTCCCCCAACGGATAGGTCTTAAGATGAACATGGACAAAACAATGATCATGTTTAATGTCCATGTCACACCTATGCCGGTAGTTGTTGGAAGCACTAAGCTCGAAGTTGTTGACGAGTATGTTTACCTGGGACAAATAGTCTGACCAGGTAAGTCCAACTTCTACCGAGAGGTCAATCGACGGTTTCAACTTGGCTGAGCAGCGTTCGGGAAACTACGACACATCTTCTCGTCAGACATACCTCAAAACCTTAAAACGAAATTGTACAACCAGTGCGTGTTGCCAGTGATGACCTATGGAACTGAGAGGTGGTCCGTCACTGCTGGTCGAATGAGGAAGCTCAAGGTCGCTCCCAGTGATAACCTATGGAACTGAGACGTGGTTCTTCACTGCTGGCCGGATGAGGAAGCTCAAGGTCGCTCAGCGAGCTATGGAGAGGGCTATGCTCGGAGTTTCTCTGCGTGACAAACTTAGAAATGAGGATATCCGCAGTAGAACCAGAGTGACCGACATAGCCCATCAGATTAGTAAGCTGAAGTGGCAATGGGCCGACCATATAGCTCGAAGAACCGACAACCGATGAAGAAAAAAGGTTCTCGAGTGGCAGCCTCGTATCGGCAGGCGAAGTGTAGGGCGTCCCCCACTAGATGGAGTGACGACCTGGTAAGATATGCAGGAAGTCGATAGATGCAGGTGGCCCAGGACCGTGCTTTGTGGCATTCCTTGGGGGAGGCCTATTTTCAGCAGTGGACTTGTGAAGGGCTGTAATGATGATGATACGTTATAAACTGCTTATATTGTATACGACAGTTGACAATTTTTGTAATTAATTACGTTTTTATGTAACTGCTTATTATACAAGATATACGCGCGAAAAATAACTCTTCCTTTGCAAAGTAAGAAAGTGACACGAGAACATTTGGCAGTGGAACACTTGTAAATGTGTTTTTCCTTAGTAATAAAAATAATCTTGTTCAATAAACGTTTTTAAGTATGTACATAATGTTAATAAATGATATTGAGTATCGAAAAACATTTTTTATTCAATTTCGTGACAATCCCTAGCATACACACTGGCCGTGTAAATGTACATACCTATATGCGCGGGCGGCGGCATCGCTGGACATCAAAGCCGTTTCAGAACTGTAAGGTCTTAAAATTGTGGTTCAACAGATCAGTTTAACTGACTGCGTGTTGAGCTATATTCTTGCCTTATCTTCAGTTTCTTTTTGTGTAGTTTCGTTGTCTGTCGGTAGATGGCGCCGAAGTAACAAATATTAGTTGCGGGACCAAATCTTCAAGATCACCGGGTAATGTAATGTCCGTAAACTGATCACTTCAACTGACCATGCGTGTCGAACTTACATCCATTTGAACTGATCAGTTTAACTTTTTATACGTGGTAGAGCCACGCTGCAGCTATTTTTATTGTAGCCACGAATGGATCGGCTCGACCGAGGTGGGACCAAGTTCTCATAAAATACCAGGCTAAAATAGTAGCTTAACGCTGCTGTGTTTCGTATGGTGAGTGTAGAGAACCGGAGACCCCTTTTACTAGAGAGGCATTCCATCTTAGTCCTCAGAGGTGGCAACGCATTTGCATTTTGATTCTTAATCAGGATGGGTGTAGACGTCTATGGGCCACAGCATCCCCTTACAATTAGATGGACTGTGTGCTCGTTTATCACCCTTATCCTATATAAAAAAATATATCAGTTAAAACAAGCTCAGAATATAAGTAATTAAGTTTGTTTCCACACATCCTAGTCTATACAAATAAATACTATAAATATTTATAAATAGGCTACTTATATTTCAGAAAAAGAATTAGGGTTCTGCGCAACATAATTAAAACCCTAAATTAGACACGGACGAAGTCGCGGGGAACAGCTAGTCTCCAATATGAATATTAACAAAATTTCCATGACTTAAATTTGTCAGCATATTTTAAAATTTTGTAAAATCTTATGCATTTAGTAATATTTAAATGTGAAAATTCTTTTAAATTATATTCTTACATATGAATGAAGTATCAAAATGATTCTGTTGTTCTTCTTTCTTACTTTCATTTTTTTTTAATTAATAATATTCATACATAATAAATACTATGTGTAATTATAAACACAAGTACAAGATAATACCACAATTTAAAGACCTTAGAGTTGGTAAACGAATGTACTTGGGCAGAGTAACGGTGGGGGTACTGCGGGGCAGGGAGGGGGCGGGCCGACCTTGTGCTATCGCACTTCACTGAGTCTGATAGACAATGCATGCAGTTGGCGGGAGGGTGTTTTATAGTACTTATTTATTAAGTGCCGTTTTCGAAAAATATAATATCTAGAATTGTGACTACTGTTATAATTTTTATTTCCATATTTGTAACAGCCGCGTGATGCGGGCGGCAGCATCGCCGGGCATCAAAGGCGTTTCACACCTAAGATCTTAAAACTATGATTAATACCTTAACGATAACGCGCGGTTAAATTTCACTCCGTCGGACTTTCTTTCCAAGATAAGGATAAAAAATGAAAGACAAACAAGTAGCAAATTAAATTCATAATTTTATTTTTATAATAAATAAAAATCAAGAAAACACTCTTTTTGAGAATTTTCCATATATTAAATACATCGTACAAAAGATGTCAATACAAACTAAATCACTTGGTGCAAAGGCAAGCCTGTCGGTTTGGGGTCGCCCGCCACCGAACGCAATTTGCGTCGTCGATTGATCATCAGTTTGAGCTATCTATGCAACAGGCGAGTGGAAACCGAGGATAGCCTCATATTCATCTACATAATAACAAACGAAGATACACAACAAATACAAACTGCCTTCCTTATGGAATGCACCCTTTACAGGTATTTCCTTCCAATAATTGTGGACATAAAATATGTGGTTACCATGATTAAAACATTGTAAATAAAGAGGTATGTAAAAAAGCGTATTACACTTCAAAAGTGAAAAAAAAAAAACAAGATAATTTAGTTTTATGAAATAATAAATAAAATATCTAACTTAAGTATGAAATAATTTACTACAACTTTACACCTAAATGATATAAATGTATGTATTGCAACACATTAAGGAGCTTTGGAACCATTGAGTAATTCGGGGCTTACGTTAATTTTCAGCTGGTAATCTCGAATAATAAAATCTAAAACTTGTGATTCATCTTTGGTTTTCAGAAGAACATTTGTTTATAGACCATAGTTCCATAACTCCTCGTGGGACGCAGCGAAGGCATGATTCGGTGCGACAAGTAACGCGAGTCATCTAGTGACTGCGTTCCAACGTGATTATTTCATAAGTACTTACATAAGTTACAGATCTACTATGAAGCTAATGCATCTTAAAGCAAATAGAGAACTTTAACCAAACAAACGGCGCACATTGAGACTTACACTAACAAATAATTCGCAGGGGTCCGTTTTAGCTATAAATCATCGTAAAGTAGAAAGAAACCATGAATGTTTTTGAAGTAAGTATATTAAAAGTAAGTGTTCTATTTTACTGACTACAGGTATACCACCGTGATAAGACTCAATACAAATAAATCCATTACTAAAACATCACAGCTTACAAGCAAACAGTGAAAATGAAGCAGCAATGGGGATAAAGATATGATCAAGGTGGTATGAATGATAACCTACTCTAAAAGTATAAATAAACGGAAACTGTTATATAATTCTTAATTATTATGCATAGGTAAAGTTAAAATTTGAATAGTTGATTAACCAGAGCAAAATGTTATTAGTTGAAATAGATTTTCATATTCCGCAATGGAATTTAAAAATCACCCACTAAAATGTGTGACGATAGTGAAGCCGTCAGGCGCGTATCTTGCCTAGAGGCTGTGAACTTGCTAGTGCAGCAAGTCGCCTAGGCGCTAACGCACTTGAGACCGATGCGAGTCGACCGTGTGAAAGAACGAACAAACTGTATCTGTATATTATGTTATTGTGGAAGAGTCCTCTCGTTATCACTCATGACACCTTACAAATTTACACCGAAAAGGTCGTTTCGTTAACTTATTAAATGCTCGCATTTCGGCATAACAACGCTTATCACAATATATAAAAATATATATTAAAGAAGCTTACACTACACCTACACATTGAAGATGCACCCCCGTATGCATCTGCCACCACACGAGCGTTACGACAACATACGGAAACCGTCATATTTTTAAATATTTTTTAAAATTTTATTTGTGCGGCAGCACATGCAAGTCTGCAAATAATTCACAGCGTATCCTTAAACATATCGACATAATGCATCTACGAAACAATTTATTGTGTATCCGATTGGGAAGAAATGGGGGCCGTCCCCCGGTCATTTCACACCCCTATATGATTTTCACAAATGTACTGGTAACTGGCTCGGCATTTCTTTGTACTGCTCAACTCTACCACACTTTCACATCATGTCGCTTTACCATTTCTTCCCACAAAATACAATAAAAAATTAAGGCATTAAATTTGGAACAAAATGCATGTAACGCATTTTAGTATAGAAACTAAATGTAATACTTTTGTCATTTCATAAAAATATTAATTTCTCCAATTCATCTTAAAAGAGCTACATCGAGGACTGATTAGGCTCTGGATTTGAATATAATATTATAGTGACAACCCATATTGACATTACATAAAGCCTATGATCGCACTGAGCCTGACATTCCTGGAATCGAAATCAGGCCGAGTTTGATTACACGAACCTACATAAACAGCAAGAAGCCATAATCTTTTCTAAATATGTGTGCACTTAATGATATTAAGATTAGATATTTCGAAATGTTAAGCCTTACAGGGTTCTACGATATTTTTATTATTTTTTGTTGCAGCTTAATATTAGGCTTTTCATAAACACATAAGTAGTAATTATATTAATATGGGTATAATTTTTTCAAGAAAGATTTTGCCGCCTTATAAGGTACACCTATGAAATTTCATTTAGATTCTCTACAGTGATACGGCTATCTCTTCAACTCTCATCTGAAATTAAAAAATATCTATATTAGAAACATGAATAATTTATTATGAGAGATTTTATAGTACACCAGCAATCAAAATCCATTCTCCGCCAGTATCACTGAAAGTGTTGATTGCAATTTTAATTAATGCTTTTATTAATGCTGGTTCACGACCATAGATCAACTCGGGCCACCGGCGGATTGGAGGGGAATAGCCAAACAAGGGCTATGCGTATGCTGTGTCAAAATATAAGTCCACACTGCTTACAAAATTAATTCTAGTAGTGCGCATGAATCGATGTCCCACAAAAATTGTTTCAAAAAGAGATAGAGAAAGAAAGCTAAAAGAAAGAGAAGTGTGCAGCTGTATATGGGCCTTTCCCAGAGTTGTTATAATTTTCATGTTTGGCAAGCTGTTAAGGTTAAAGACAAAGATCTAAATAGATAACGCAAGTATACCTACTTCCAGTGGCATCCTTGGGGTCTTAACAAAGAGCATGACCCATTTTTTAATATTTTTCCATTGTATTTTGTAACTAGCATAAATACAAGATGATATAATGCTATCAACCTGAAGCCTCATGATCATAAGAGCTTTCGAGAATTTCCTATTGTTTTTCCTATGCCCTATTCCTATTCCCGAAGCCATCTTAAGACACAAATTCCTTAGTGATGCTACTAATTAATATCTGCAGATAATTGACCAATTGCTCTATATTGCTAACATAAAGATTTCTTTCAAGAATAAAGAGTTTTATTTAAATACCTCCACAAAGGAATTAATGTTGCTTTGTATTTTAATACACAAATTACTCAAATATATTATTTATTTGAAGAATTTTTGGTTTCTTCGTCGTCTATGAAAAGAAGTTCTTGTTGCGCCTAACTGTACGTACGTACAATCGAATCTTATTAATTGTTGTCAACGCGCAAAATACATTTTGAAATTGATTTTGATACTGACGATATTATTTCTTGCTACCAAACAAAATTAATTAAAATTAAATATATCGGTCGGGGAAAAAGTTTCTTCGTAATTTATATACAAATTCACATGTGCCATTTTGTTTGATAATTTGTTGCCATCTTGTAGATAGTGACATAATCCCATTGCTGCAGAAATCTGGGGTTATTTTTAATAAAAAAAATGCAACAAGTAGTTTTCCCTCTCTTGATGTTAACCTAACACTACCCAAAGAATTCTGAAGAGACCACAACAGGTGAAAATCTCAGGGTGCAAGGTCAGGACTATATGGTGGATGCACTAACATTTCCCAATCAATCTCTCTCAATTTTTGCCGAGTGGCCTAAGATGTGTGTGGTCTGGCGTTATCATGATTAAAGCCCATTCGTTTTCTGTTGATCGATTCCGGCCATTTTTTCTCAATTTCTTGCTTATGTCTCATCAGTTGTTGGCAGTAGAGATCCGAATCGATGGTTTTGCCCGGCGGTAAAAGCTTCCCAATCCTAACATACACACAGCATCACCTTATTGCTTGTTGCATCGCGTGTTGTATCGCAAATAAGTACAATATTTATTAAGTTTCTGTCAGTGAGCTCGTGTGTATAGCCAGACTTTTTCAAATGGGTTAAAACTTACTCCACTTTTTCAAAAACGGCGTCGGCTTTATCCGTATGAGGACGACCAGAGCGAGCTGCATCTTTGACATCAAAATTACCGAACTGAAAACGTTGAACCAACTTAGTACTACTCTTACTCACACTGCATTAGGTCATAAACGTCACAAATTTTTTCGCGGTTTGGTCCTATTTTTCCCTTTTTTGTAATAAAACTTCAAAATATATCGTATTTCTTCATTAGATTCACTCATTGTGGCGGACAGAAAAACTATTGAAAAATGGCTATGTCATTTGACATATAACAAATGTGATACACAACTAAATAGAATGGAAACAATCAATGATTCAAAAAGTTTACATTATCATCATCATCATTACTACAAGTCTACTGCTAAACATAGGCCTTGCACAAGGAATGCCACAAACCATGTTCTTGAGCCACCAGCGCATTAATTTCCCGCATCTCTTAAGAGGTCGTCACTCCATCGAGTGGGGGCCGCCCTAAACTTCGCTTACTAGTGTACGAGACTGCCATTTGATAACCTTTCTTCCGCATCGCTTGCAGTTTCTTTGAGCTATATAAAGTCACTTCAGCTTACTGATCCATTTGGCTATGTCGGTTACTCTGGATGTACTACGAATATCCTCATCACAAAGTCTATCACGCAGAGGAACACCGAGCTTAGTTGATTGAGTGACCTTGAATTTCATTGTATGGCCAACTGTGAAGAACCATCCATATATCATCACTGGCTGACACGCACTGATTGTATAGGTACTCTTGTTTTCAAAGGAGACTGATACGCTTTCATACATTCTTCGGCCCAGATTGTAAATAGATGTAAGTGGTATCAATTAATAGGTTATATATTATTAAAACATCACTGAAAATTCGGCGGACTTTGGCAATCTGAGAGCAAAGTTATGAGATTTAGTAAAACACAGAAACACTCAAAACGCACACGTACTGAACAATACGAGACGAGTGATCATAGATTGAGTCAGGCAGGAGCTGTCACTGTCAGCACAGATTAAAAATACAGTTGACAAACACGAGAATTTTAAGATTTATTTTTATTGCGTTGATATTTTATTATTTAAACTGTTGACACTATGTTAATTGTAATTTATATTATTACTTTGATTGAATCAATCATTTGCTGTAAGTTGTTTTTATATTTAATTGCTAAAACTCTTTCACATTAATTGATTAAAGTAATCGATTTCTTACTTTATTCGTGACACAAACTTATTTTTAAGATTTCTCGTCTTCCAGATTGTGAATTGGGCAAATTTTTTTATATTTTGAAATAGAAAAATATAACGCTTTTTTTAAAACATATTTCAACTTATTACAATTGGGCCCAGAAATCCCTGTCTCCTTTCGGAGTATATGAGACGAGAAGATAAGTTTCAATCTCTTGAACATTGCCCAGCTGAGCCGGATCCGTCAATTGACCTCTCGATTGCAGTTGGACTACTCAGACAACTTGGCCAAGGTAAACATACTCATCAATAACTTTAAGCGTAGTGCTCCTTACAACAGTCTCTGATCTGACATTATTCTGATTATATTCTGAACACCAGTCTGAGCAGTTTTCCGGCTAATTAAATCCAGCACAAAAATGAAATTCCTGGATGTGGATAAAATAACAGCAAAGCTTCTGAAGTGGGTGTAAACAAACCAGTATTTAGCCCTTAAGAAGCTCTTCAATTCTGTCAGTTCCGTTCTTTAAGGCAACAACATTCTATTGAATAACTACAAATCGATTTCCTTTCTGAGCAAAATCTACATGCTGTTTTAGAGTCATTTAGAATTCGTAATACATTGCGACTTTTACTTAAGGCGCCAGTTTAGATGTGGCCGTGCTCTGTTAATAGGTAATGAATATCAAGGGAATCACTTGTTTCACTTGCTTTTGCATATGGCTAAAGTTTTGTGGTATTGATTATTTCACAATTTAGTGACGTTTACTCTATGCAACATAAAAGTTCTCGATTCCAATACATTTTATCGATTTAGAAAACGCTATTTAAATATAACTTTGTTCTTAATTTGGGTACATAATTCAAATTAAAAAAAGTGGAGTAGAGACTGGTTCCCACAAATAATTAAATCACAAAACCGTTATTTCACTACAAGAACTAAAATTACCGTAAATAATATTTGAATAACGTAAAAAATATAAAATATTTGAATAACGTGCGCTGCGTTGAGTCGATTTAGCACGGAAAAATGTTTTCCATCTTTACATAGCGCTCATGACGTCAAATTGCGGCCGTTGCGTTATCTATTTAAGTCTGTCTGTGGCGATTGCATTACTATATGTTACACAGTTGCTCCTTCTTTATTGTTAATAAATAACTTATAAAAATAAAATGTTATTTGTGAGACTAACCTCGTCCACCAACAATTATGGATTTCCGCTTGATATCCTGAGCAGGAGCAGGCCTTACAACGCCAGGAGCACCACCACTCACCAGATGCCCACCACCAGCTCGAATCGGTTTCGCTGATAGAATTAAACATGAATCAATTTAGTTTTTGTCAATCATGATAAAAATGCTAATGTTCAATATAGTCAAACAATACATTCTCCATGCTACTGGCTGTCTAGGTAGGCTGTATGTTCATTATAATGATGTCCACAAGACCAGTTTTCATTATCAACTGTTCAAAGATATAACAGTATCATAAGTATATTGTGCAAACACAAACACTCACTTATGCAGACCTACCCATGAGTATTGTAAAAAGTTTGCAATATAAACGGAAGCAAGCTCGAATACAGTGTCACAGATACAGTGATAATAACAATACAACCATATATGCATACTAACAAATATTTTTTGCATAAATATATGTTTGGCTGTAACTTGACCTTTCTAGTAGTATTTCTGTTATACTGCCACCATATGGTAATATGTCTGTTTTATATTGCATTCTCTTTACCTATAGAAAAGAATACTACGTTCTAGAAAGGTTCTAGAACAATACTTACCAATTTGAGCCTGGGGGCCTCTTCTAGCGAGATTTTTAGCTCGAACAGCTTCCTTAATTCTATCAACTTCGAATTGGTATCTCTTGCGGTCACGCATTGCTCCCTCTTTCGCTTCCTGCGGACAAAAGAGAGAATTAAAGTAACAGTACATAGGCCTCGTATTATTACTGACAGGCTTTTTTTAAAAAAAAGAATAATCAGTTATGTTATCAAATAAAAAAGTATTTGGTCATAGTTTTAAAATGACAATTTCATACATTTATATTGCATACTGCTCTCAAAGTTATCTCACCCGATACGAAAGATTAATTAGAAGCTTATCATGAAGAGTTTGGTGGTTTACTGGTGCTGTTTTTCACTATTGTTTCTTGCTATCCGGTGCCATAGAAACTGTCGTTATTGTCAAAAATTGCAAAAGATGGTGATGAAGCTGGCACTCAAACAACCCAGATTGGTGTTCTTGACAAAGCCCAACCACATACTAACACAACAGACGTTGCCAAAATTTTCGGAGCTAAAACTTCTAGTTTTAGCTCCGAAAATTTTAAACATATCTGATATTTCATGGTTACACTATTATAATAATAATAATAAATACTTTATATTATATAGCTATTTATGGATTGTGTTTCTTAGGTTGAAGATTAATAGAAATTCCACACGAGGGGATAATTACAATCGTAACCCAAAACATGTTTTAGAACTTTTAATTTTTTTTTCTAGTGCTTGAATTACATATTAATCAACTAAAATATGTTAGCAAGAATGTTCATACCTTAAGTGCAGTTTCCAGTGCCTTAACACGTTCCATGGTTGCGCGGAGTCGCTTCTCGAGCTTTGGCAGCTCGCAGCGCAAATCGGCGTTGTCGCGCACCAACTGTTTGTGGACTTTTGTCAATTGTTCTAGATTGTTCTCTAGGAATGAGATCTTTTGTTTTTGTGCCAACGAGCCGCCTTCCTCTTCCGCATTCTCCTCTGGGTTTGTTGATTTCTTTATTCTCGCCTGTAACAAAAATACAAAAATTAACCGTGGTTATAGAAATAATAATCTGATAATGTATTTTAACTCTTTTTTTTTAAAATGAATTGTGACATTCAGCTTTAACATTATTTTCGTGTGAAGCTCTTAGTGAAATCGCGTAAGACTGATAAAACTAAATCTTATCGCTTGATATTAAGAATTCAAGTGTAGGAAGTTGAGAACAAGGGTATAAATTTGCGATTCCGATACATAAATTATTTATTTGAGAGTAACTATAGTAAAAGGCTTTTACCCATTCCAATGTTAGGCGAAGACAAGACTTTTATATTCTGCTATATTTTAATTAATTTGACCAAAATGATGGAAGCACATTTATCACTCACCTGCAAATCCTGCACGAAGAGCTTTCGCAGATTGTGCAGCGTCTGCAGTTCCTTGGCAACGGTATCCTCGAGGCCCTTCAGATCGGCACGGGCTTGCTCGCGACGCTCCACACTTTGGCTGTTAATTTTTAACCAAATATAAAATAACAATTTCGTTACAGATTATTCAAAACATCTGCTTGCAGCTGTTACACTGGAGTTTCCTTTGAATGATTTCTGCACAAAACAGGTTCCAAAGTGTAAGCCTCTTATTAGAGAATTTAAGCATATACACATAATATACAAACTACATAATGTATATTAAAGGTCATTTAAATAGAAACCAAATGATTGAATATTTTGTTCTTAAGGAACTGCTTAGGATTCATAATTTTGACGACATATTACATAAAAGTACTGCAAAATAAATCAATGACACTTAACTTCTAAACTTAATCAAGAACTAGTAATGTAATTACTGAAAATAGAAAAGTTGCTTAAACATTTTTTTCCTAATAGTAATAGATCAGATCACGCGTTGTTATATCGACTTTGCTAGAAGAATCTCCCGTGGAACAAACTGCAGCAGAGCTCACCACTAAAATTACCTGCAAATTGACGCGAAAGAGTTGTCATATCTCCCAGCACGCACCCATCCATATTATGTATATAGGTCGCTCGGTCCTCTGAGGCCATATCGTTTTAGAACATGCCAACCCCCGGCAGAATGAGTATGAATGGGATACGTGCGGAATAAAATGACAACTCAAAAATAAAAATAAAAGCTAGGCATAACAGACCTTGCAACTACATTTACTTTGTACTTACATTGACTACAACATACTGTTTGTTAACCAAAATATCACAACATAATCACATTTTATATATGTGTTGCAAGCAATTCAATCTAGAATTTGTATATTTTGCAGGTAATACGCCTTTAAGTACTTTAGGCAATATTTTCTAGATTCAAATGCAATACTAAAGATACGCCACGACCAGGACCAACCTACGTGCAAACAGAATTTTTAACTTTATTTTATTATATTGTTAGTTTATTGACCCTTTAGGTCGTATTATTTGCACGAGTTCAAATCCCACAGGTTGAGGCGACAATCACTCATCGGCATTTCGAGTGCAACTAAGGAAGTGATACGGACACTAGGAATAATGTTATATGTGTTTTAAGTACAAGCACATATGGAAAAGGCACAGGTGGAATGAATATACAGCCATGCTTTATCTATGATTCATGAAAAAATGATTGTATACTGTACTTTGAAAGACAAATCAATTGATATATCAATAAATGCCAACAATGGAATGGTCCTGAAATGCTCCCATATGCTTGTTTTGTCGTATCAAAGGCCATTGTATTATTACTAAATGGTTCCATATTACCTATCTGTGACCAATCTCACCCTATTTTTCTATGTTAAGTATTACCTAAGATTAATCAGATACACATTTACTCGGAAAATAATTTATAGAATTAATTTTAATTCAAATATTGCCGAGAAACCAGTCAAACTGTAAGTGACTAATAGAAAAATATTTTGATATAAATATGACTTGCTGACTCTCTATACAAACACTTAACTTTATTTACAAAAATATTTACAAGATAATACGACTGTATGCAGATAATGTGATAAGATATCGATGTATTTTAGTCTGTAACACAATTTGTGCGAAATCATTTCTTAATTTAAATGATATCTTTTAAATATTAGTTCTCATTTGTTTTCAGCTAACGAATGTAATAAAAATGATTTACCGAAGCTGCTAATTAGCAAAAACAACGACTTAAACTAGCTATGTAATATAAAAGGCAGTGAAATTATGAACTTTAAAACAACTTTAAATATGCACCAAAGAGTTTTGTTTTATCACGTGTTTAAGATAATCTTTAAGATACTACACAACAATCACTATATCCGATAGTCTCTATACGATCGCAAAGGAGGTCTAGTTGCACACGTATTAGCAACTAACGAGCCCAAAAATTTAACAAACTACTTCTAATATTTGAACACTAACACTTATATACTTCACACATAAATACGAACAACAATAACCATGCCTTTGATTAAGTTCGCAAACATTCACCAAATTAAATGCTTAAAGGGAATTATAAAAGTCAATAGCCTATCTTTGGTCAAAAAATAACTACTTTGTAAATAATACATAAAGACTAGTATAAGGTTAGTCTTCGAAAGCGAAGCGGTTAGAAAGAGACGGTCGTCATAAATTGAGCCCACAACTGTCTTAGAAGGAACTCTATTTACTTAGTTCGAATTATTGCCGCGTTAGATAAGACAGTTGTAGCAAAATAAATTATAATTAAAAAAGACGTGAATCTCTACACACTTTATGGAAGTCAACCAATTACACTTTCTACATCTATTAGTTTAAGATTGCTTTGAAAGGCACGAACTATAAATATCAGCATCATGCATAGAGACCCACAATAGTAAATAAATGAGATGCCAAGCTTAAACTAAAACAACAATTTGAGGATAGCGATGGGTGAGCAGGATCATGGTGACGGATATGAGCAAATGCAACTGGAGGGGATGGATGTTGCAAGTGTGGCGGGTTGGGGATTTAGGGGTTGCCGAGAGCGACTTTTCCTCCCTGCTAGTAGCCTTTTCAATATCGAGCCCCATGCCATATCCGAAACCTAGCCTCTGTTTCTTAGGCGTTATTATGTAATCCCCGAAAATATCACTGTCGTCCTTCAGCGCTGTTTGCTGATTGGCGACCTCTTTTTCGGCCTTATCGAGGTTACGTCGAGGCGAGCGCGACACTAACATAAGCTCCTTCAGTTTCGCGGACTTGTCGGCTTCTTCGCGTTTCAATTTCTCGTAGTCGTCTTGCAGTTGTTGGCGGGCTAGCGTCAACTCCTGGTATGTGCTGTGGACGAAAATATACAATATAGTTGATAATCGATTGACACAAACAATTGTAATGTATAATATTTATGGATATTTTGTTCTTTAATTTAAGTATGGGTGACAAAAATCGCACTGTCCACCTGTACATTGTGCATTCAGTACAATAAAATAACATACATAATATGTTCAAAATACAAACTAATTAAAAAATGTAGTTAATATAAACAAACAAGCCCCGTCATATTATGTCCAGTAGTCAAATTGTATGCCAACTCCCGACACCTTTAGTCATTCTCGATAATGAATCCAAACATAGGGTATTACCTTATTTATTATTGTTATTAAAATAATCTGTTGCATCAATTACACTCAATTACTTGTACTGGTGTTGATGAAGTATTAAATCCGTGTATCGCAATTAGTGGAACGTGTACCCCCCAGAAGTATGAGAAAGAAGCTACCTGCCTGGCTAGCATGGCCGGGGGACAATTTTATCCCCGGGAAAAGGAGAAAATGTTTATCCCCTCGCTTAGTTTTATCCACCCTTAGAGCATGGGCACACCGGTGGATATAATATCCACAGTAAATAAATTGGATTTAGACTTAGATTTTTTTTGTATGAATATAAACTTCCACCCACGTCCAATGAATTAGGGTAAAATTGTGCCTTTCAAATGTCAAAAAAGCATAATTTTTTGTCTTTCATTTGGCTCCATGCTACAGACGGGGGATATATGTCTACTCGTTATGTCAAACGGGGATATACTTCTCCCCGTTTGACATAACAAGATAATTTTATCTCTTGTCAGTGGATATAATCGTAGGATAAAATTTTTGTCCCCCGCCCATGCTAGCCGGGCTGAAGTGGTACGCACTTGACTAATGGTAAGGGTACTAAAAGGTAAGGGATCTCTTAAATAAGGCAAAAAAAACTAGGAAAAAATTACTATCACTAATACACATTTGTACAGTGTGTTGATTTATATGCCATTGAACTTAAATAAAGGTTATTTTCAATATTATTAAAATTTTCGAAAATATGATTTCATAATTTATATAACATTTCACCTATTAGGGATATGTGAGCTGTAGTTCTTTCTCGAAATGGTATGCAGGTTAAATCAAATGAGAACTACTGTATTAAATAAATGGTTTTAGAAAGAAAAAGTTCAAAATGAGTCTTCAGTTAAGATATGAATAGGCCCAAAAATCTAAACAATAATAAGAAAGTGAAACTAACTCCTTAAGTTCTTGGTGCTGGCGTTGCAGAGCAGCAAGTTCGTCTCTCAATGTAGACAACTGTGTAGTGTGGGAGGCACGAAGTTGCTCCAGTTGTGCTTCCAAAGCACCACGTAACTGTGAGTCTGCGCGTTGCTCAGCCGCTGCTAGTTGCACGCGTTCCGCAGCCTATTAAATCAAACCAAAAATATTTTATTGTCTAGACGGATCTTACTCCACAACATCTTGCGATGTGATGAGAATCTATGGATTTAACAAAGAATTAAAGAATACCAAGCGTATACTGTGTAAAATCAATTTTTATTTATGTGTGGTACTGTGGTACAATACACTGATAAGTGATAACACATTATTACATATGGGGAGACAACACAAAGCAAAATTATGTACACTAACTCATCGTGTCATTATAGAAATCGAATAGAGCAGAATTATTCTTGAAATTCTTTTAGTAGTAGTATGTTTTTTATAGCCATTAAGTTCCATGGAAATCATGGCAGCTGTTTAAACATACGTATTATACAATATTATTCAAGAATTCAAACTCTGTGCTAAAATTAAAAATATATATATCAAAAATGTTCAAAAAGTGAGCATCTATAAAAAATGAAAAAACTTATGATATGATTAAAAGGAAAGTGGGCTGCTCCTTTGCTTAATGTGTTTGCAATTTAATTAGTAATAATATTACTACTATCTTACTATGTAAGGGACTTTTTATTCAATTTATAATTACATATAAAATAATAATCTTTGAGGCGCTTTTAGGTTTGCACGCCTTTTAAAATATGTTTTCTTTTATTTATTTAAATTCTATTTGAAATGTATTTTTAAATAACAGATAAGAATAACAGTTAAGTTATGCAGTAGCGTTTTTGTTATGGTATAAAGAATTCATGGTAAATCAACTAGCAATTCGTTTGTTTAATTATCATAACATCATAATTCAGAAATCAAAAGCGGACTCCCATAAGCCGTAGTGAATACTAACAAAAACAAAATAGCATTTTCAAGTCAATAAATTATAACGATCATATTATTATAAGTTAATAACTTTTAACCTATTATTAAAAAGAGAGTGTATGTTTTGTGATGCAAGCTATAACTTTTTATTGCAATAAATTTAATGTACATACTCATGTTTCGCGTAACTGACCGTGATCGCTGACGAAGAACGTTATAATTAACTGTGTCTTGGTTATATAACCATAATGTACATTTTAATACGAAATTATAAGGTGTGGTTTATTCGTAAATGAATACATAAGCTAAAGAGTTTATTCACCTAAGTTATAACACATATAGAAATTAAAACCAGAATCCTATTTTTAACGGTAATTCTTGAACACATTTATGAAATAGTTCAAGGTAATTTAATATATATATATATATATATATATATATATATATATATATATATATATATATATCCCAAAGTCAAGGATTTTCACCTGTATCGTGTAAGTAGTTAACATACATAAATTGCAGAAGGACAACCAACCAGACCCGGAAAAATTATTTGTAGGCTATACAAAATATTTTTCCGTGCGGGATTTGAACCCGTGGCCATCATCGCCGCAACTTAATGTTTTAAGTCACTGCGCCACGGTGCCATCGAATTGAAAATGTTCTTAATATAAAAAACTAAATACAGTTGATATTTTATACCGTAATTTTAAAAAGAATCATACATGAAAATAACTTTGCTTTAAGAGTTTTGTATGTTTATCGTTGCTGAAAACCTTTAGAAGGTGCAGCCTGTCAATAAACCATACTATTTCCCATAGAGCAACACGGGCCACCGGCGGTTCGGCGGGAAGTAGCCATACGCAGGAGTTTCCCTCAGTCAAAGTACAATAAAACTAGTTGCAATGTGGCTGGCGTTGTTCAATAGACTAAATCTAGTTGCGCGACTGAATCGACGTCGTACAAAAATACCGCATTGTTCAGTTTTTTTGCTGCAAAATAAAATTGCCACGTCAAATTTACAAAAAGATGGTGTTACCTTTCATATATACATAACAATTGCATTATATATGTAAGGTGTGTAATTCTTAATCACATTATTGCTATTTACTTCTTAACTTAAAAATTATATTAATTACGGTCGTGTTGTTTCGGATTTGTTTACCAACACAGGCCGCTCGCCCCCAATACATTATGCCGATCAGTCGAGCGACTGACCCGAGTCTCTATCTGAGTTATATTGTTTGTGTGTGTGAAATGGTTACTTTATTGTTTTAATTGTTATGTGTGAGTTTCGTAGCGACAGACGATTGTTTTTGTGTGCGCATATTTCCCCCGCAAAAAATACAGACTGCTCAGTATCGCTGAAAAACGCTATGGCTACTCCTTTCCGGTTCGCCCATGGCCTGTGTTGCTCTATGCTATTGCCACTATAAGGTATAGCCTGGAATTAGAAAATTACAACGAAGAAGAAGAAGAACGACGGCTCCGTGGCGCAGTGGCTTAGCAATGAGTTGCTGCGCTGGGGGGCGCGGGTTCGAATCCCGCACGGAACAAGTATTTGTATGGCCTACAAATAATTGTTCCGGGTCTGGATGTTTGTCCTTGTGAAATTTGTGTCTGTAAACTGCCCCCACGATACAGGAGAAAAATCCTAGTGTGGGGGTAACGTTTAAAAAAAAAAAAGAAGAAGAAGTAAAAAGATATTATTTGTAGAATTATAAATATGATCGTTCTAATTTACCGATACCGTCCTATTAAGCTTCGGCCGAACTGAGGTGAATCCCGCACGCCATTAGTTTTGGTTTCTCAATAGGAAAACATGTCTTTTGATATTGAAGCTGAGGTTTTGTTTTTATTAGCATTAACTGAAGAAGAATCCCAAGATGTGAGGAAGAAAAGAAGAAAATGGGTTCACGAGCTGAGTACTCAACGCATAGAATTTGGAGAGATTCACACTTTAGTACCCACATTACGAAAAGATTAAAAAAAGATTTTATATATATAGAAGTTTTATTAAGAATCGAACAAAATATACGGAAATATATTTTATTCGATTCTTGCTAAAACTTCCCATACCCTATCTTTTTTCCTACTATTTTTATAGTCTTCGTGGCTGATGTCGTATAAAATCTTGTTTTCTTTTACTTTTTGTAAAAATAATTTAAGGTTCAACGGCATTTCGAGAAATCTGGCACCATCCCGCGTATATTTCGCTGTATCACGTGCGAATATTCGTGCCAATGTGAACACCTTCATACAAGTTAGCTGACGCAATCGGCGCGAGCGAATCGCGTACCGCGTCCCGCTCGGGATTCGCCTCAGTTTGGCCCAAGCTTTAAAGTTCTGAACATAGGCCTGCCCCATAGATTGCCTCATAGTGGGATATCTGCCATATTAGCCACGCTTGGTAAGCAAAAGTTGACAACCACAGTTTTTTTATTTTTAGTCGTTATTAGGAAGACGCTGCTGCCCATATCCTGATTTGTTTCCCTCTTGTCACCTCTTATGACACCCACGGTATGATATGGGGTAATGGACATATCCAAATGAGATCCAAATAAGAATACTTACACCGCCACTATACGGTTTATTATCGTTATATTCTACTGACCTGAAAATACTATTTTGTTTTCGTTATTATTCACTTCCTATTCTTCTTATACACTTCCTAATCCTGATTATTTATATGAAAGTTAATGTAATAGAATTGCAATATGGTAGTGATAAAATGTCATGTTTACTATTTTTTATATTCTATTTAAATGTTATCTATATATATATATATATATATATATATATATATATATATATATATATATATATATATATATATATATATATATATAGAAGATATGAAGTTTATGCTTAATTATAGTAACAGCCTTTCAACTTCCGCAGTTGGGCACAAGCCTCCTTTCATTTCCTTCCATCATGTCCTCAAAATGTTCTACTTCTTAAACTTACCATAGGAAGTTATAAATTAAAACACAATGCTCTAGAAATCTCTAATCCTTTAAATTTGCTATCAGACAATAATTCAGAGTCTTTTATGATGCATTTACAATTATTTTAGTTGGAAACCTTACACTGTATAGTAATAACAACATATTTGTACAGTTTATTTACAAATTCAGCCTTGGTCTAAGTCTCCGACATTCTCGTAATGTTACTCACCCACAAATTCATTGTTGCATTGTTGCGGGCTTTACTGAATAATGCGTTGAGAGCTCACAACTTTTTAAATAATTGTTAATACTAATAACATAAAACTTTGTCACTTATAACATACTAACAAGATTCTAACATCTGTGTTTGTCATATATTATAGGTGATTCAACACATAACTGTATCAAAATTCTAAGAGGAAAACTAAATCATTGTATTAGCACGGACCCTATTTTATTTACCAAAAAGCCACAAAAGATAAAGAAGAAGCTTTGTAAATTTGGTAAATTCAGAAGATTGTGAGTACCTGGTTTGTTTACATCTCTTTGCAAATTATATATCTTTATATATAATAATTCAGCTCACAGAAAACCAGCGTAAAATAGCAGCTTACCGCTGCTGTGTTTCGTATGGTGAGTGTAGATAACCGGAGACCCTTTATACTGGCAAAGAGGCATTCTATCTTAGTCCTCACGGGTGACAACGCATCTGCATCTTGAGTCTTTATTGAGGATAGATGTAGATGTCTATGGGTCACAGTAACCACTTACCATCAGGTGGACTGTGTGCTCGTTTGTCACACGATCCTATAAAAAAAAAAAAAAAAAAAAAAAATTACGTGTCACATTATTTGTATCATTTGTGACATAATATTGATACGGGGGGGTCGCAAGAAATTTCACCAAATGAATAAAACTAAACTTCTTTCATCCTTCGGCTCCAATTATCGAGCGTTCAATGATCTCACTGTGTATCTCATTTCGCACAGATTCGCATCTCGAAAACCATTTTCGCGTGATTTTTGTATGTCCTATAAGCTATAGCCATCTTAGCTGATCGAGCGATCGGTAAAAGTTAGATACTCTGACTAATCTAAAGCCACGAGTTTAGTCACGTCATTCACGAGACAAAATAACCTTGTCGCACGAGTCACTCGCGAGATGAAATAAACAAGACAAATTTAGCTATCTGTGAGACTGTATACTACTACTGTATAATAACTACTTTTATTATTAATGTAATATGTACAAGGGTTATTATTTAATAATAAAACCTTGGTAACTATATGACATACACGTAATTTGTAGGGGAGATGAAAGAATATCCATTACCCCATATTGTACCGTGGATGTCGTAAGAGGCGACGGAGGGAAAGCAGCATCTTATTGATAACTAAAAAATAAAAAACTGCGATTTAGGAAGCGCAGTTTCATATTTTTTAGTTACCCACCTGCCACGAGCGTGCTTGCCTGTATAGCAAATATTCCCGTATAAGGCAATTTATGGGAAAGGCTTACTTTCAGCAGTGAACATTTGATAGTCTGTATTGGTAATAATATGACTTGGACAGATCGTTCTTTTTTATAATAACAGACCGCGATATTGTTATCATATACTTTATGGTTATATACAAGATATATGTAATTCTATTTAATTACAACCTGTATATTATATACCTGTAACCACTTTCTAAGTAATGTAGACATTAGTTTGAACAATACTGTGGCAAAGAATATTGGTATAAAATAAGGGATACTTTATCTCAACTTTCATGTTGTTTTATTTATTTAATATTAACATCTTAAGACTAGGGGTCCTTGAGACTGAAAATTGGGTACATTTCTATGTATGAAAGAATTTCTTAGTAAAACCCATTAAACACTAAAAACTATAAAGAGATGGGAAAATCAATCATCACAGGGTTACCTGCTTAGTAGTAGTAAACACCACTTCAGAGCTCTAAAATCAACCTGTAATGCTGACTAGTTATTGTTTGTGAAGATTGTACAGGCTCCTATTTTCCCATTAGGACCATAGTCAGTTGAGACTTAACATTTGTCGCGTTCGGGCGTCCCTCATTATCTAAACATTATTTTAAATTGTAATTTAATAAAGAGGGTTCCATGCCTTAAGTTCTTTTTTTAAACTTCAATTTAACAGTTATGTCATAAGATATTACAAATATAACTGGAACAGAGAATCCAGCAGTGGAAGTAGTCCATGCAGGTATGACCAGATTGAGGGCCCTTACCTGTAGTCGAGCGCACTCCTCGCGCAGCGCGTCGGCGGCCTCCTCGAGCTGCCGCTTTTTGTTCTCAGCTTCGCGCATGGACTCCGCGAGAGACGCGCACCGAGCTTCGTGTTGGGAGATAAGCAGCCGACATTCGCCCAAAGAACGTTCGTATTCTTCAATCTATACAAAAGGATTAAAAACTTGGTGAATAAGTCAGAACCTGAGGAAATATGTAACAGAAAAAAAACATAACACATATCTTCATATGGGAATGGTTGAAATTTGTTCTAATTTACTATTTTTTACAAATATTATATAATTTTTTCTATAATATGGAAGAAGTGAAAACTATCAATATAATTAAATATAAAAAACTTCTGACCTTAAAGCTCATTGAAACGCTACATAAATGTATGTAATATACACCATAAACAAATTCATCGAAATTAAAATAAGCTACCCAAACTTACAGAAAAGGTTTGCTCTAAAAAATTTTATTGAACTTTCATCATTTTTGGATAAATATCAATGTCCACTTTAGTTGATTCTCCAAATAAAAATTTATACATAAATTAAAGCTGAAATAAGCTTAATACTGTATAAAATTCCTTATCAAGGAATCAAAACTCCATCAAGACTTCATGAAAGAAAAGGTTATCCATTTGACTGTATATTTTATTAATAAAGTATGTTCTTACATAGGGCACACGAAAGTTCTGCACTCTTGGCCAATAATAAATGTGTGAATATCGAATTTTATATTTTTAAAACATAACATACTCATAATATAATGATTATAATTTAAAATTTAAAATTTTGTACAGCTGACTTTAATATAAGTTATTAAGAATAAGTCAAAAACTATTGGTCTGACCTTGATCAAATTCATATGGGACCACACGAGAAGTACCAGCTTTCAAATAAAAAAAGAATCATCCAAATCGGTTCACCCAGTAAAAAGTTATGAGGTAACACACATAAAAAAAAACATACAGTCGAATTGAGTACCGTCTCCTTTTGGGAAGTCGGCAGAAAATAGTTTTTGTCGGGAAGACGCATGTCAATTGTTTTTTATCACAAGTTGAAGTTCGTCATCCGTACCAAAAATAGAATTAAAGAGAAAATACTATACGGTGATGATTTTTATCATTTTAAAAGTTTACTCTGCAAGAGAGAAGATAAAAGCACCTCATTTGAAGTAAGGCATTGGTACGCAGAATATGATTGTAGCCAAGTTTCTCTCCATGACAAAATTTGTAAATGTTGCCAAAAAAATGTGGCCACTGTCAAGCGACTAATTGAAGAAAACGGGCGCATCACCTATGACGACGTTTAAGTATTGGTAATTTTTTGAATATAAGTTTTACATCAATTTATAATGTTGGAATTTTTATTGTTACCACACACACCACTACAAAAAAGTCATAAAAAATATTATCATATTTACTTAGGAAATTGGCCTACCTTTTGATTAGCATCAATGTTAGCAGTCTCCAAAGAGTGGCAACGCTGCACAATGTTCTTGACTTCACTCTTCATCTTGCTGATGTGCAGCCGGGCAACAGTGAACTCCTCTTCCAGTTTGCCAACAGTGTCTACATTCAGTTTGAAATCCAATTCAGAACCACCCACAGCAGCTCCAATTTCAGCCAGATCCCGTAGTAAGTTAGTGAGAAGTTCAGCAATGCGCTTTCGTTGGTGGGCAGAAAGGTCACGCAGCTGTTGAAGTTCTGAAGTTGCGCTCGCCAATGCGCTCTGTTGGAATATGAAAGTATTAACATAATATTATAAAACATATTATGCATATACTTTTTTAGTTCTGTAAGTAGCACTGAACAATGTATCAAATATTCTCGTATGCCTGCTAGCCAACGTGGATTAATTGGTTAACTTTTTAGTTTTACTGACATAGTCAGACATTTTGTCTTAGCCATGCATATTTGTCTACAATTTAGTACATTTCCTCTGCACCCCTGCATTTATTTACAGGTGACCTGTGATAGTGACAATTTTGAAAGAAATTAACTTTCTAAAGTAGAAAACAATTATTCAGCATACTTTGCCTCAAGCTCGAACAGCTCATAAATATAACACTGCAAAGAATAATACGTAATAACATTTTTTGTTTTATTTTCTGAGATATGTTGATTTTTAAAATATGATTCATTTTTTTACCGAGCATATCATTAATCAGCACTTTTTGTAAGAAAATGCATTTAAAATTTCTGTGATGTCAGCATCAGGGATTGAACACAGCTTGTGTAAGTGTTATGAAATTTTACACAAGTGCCCAGTCTTTGCTGAGCTACTACAGATTTATGATAAATTTGCAATTTTAATCATAATTGCTACCAAAATGTGGAATATTTCCATAAATTTAATAGCCTCATATAAGATGAGTATGCTACTCACTAGCTTTATAAACATTACCTGTTTGCTTTGTAGCTCTTCCGATAACTGATCACATTCGCGACTCTTGCTATCAACCTCCTGTGATTTTTGGTCATAGTTAACGGCAAGTTCTTCTAAAGCCTGGAGGACCTCTTTAACCTCTTCCTTTGCTGCTTCATTCTCTTGTTGGATGCGGTTCATGTCGCCCTGTAACGCTTCGTAGTCGCGTCTATAAAACAAATAGTCTTATTAAAGAACTTTTGCAAATAAAAATTCTACAAATTACTTTCTTTAAAAAATATATATTTTCATTTTTAAAAATGAATCTGTTTTTATACAAATACTGATTTAATATAATTTATACTATACTGATAGTCATGAAGTTATTCAAGTAAGGTTAATGTTTGCTTTGTGATATTATTTAAATATACAAAATAATAATAATATTCTGACTAATTAAAAATTGAAGAAAACATCATTCATTATCATTACGACCAACCAAAGTTTACAGTGGAAGTTCCCCAAGGCCTCCCCTGAGATACAACCCAAAACACATTACCGCTTACCGTACGAAACTGCCATTTGAAAACCTGTTTAACCCATCAGTTCCCTGTTTTTCGAGCTATGGTCAATATATTGTTGGCAATGTTTCAATTGCAATACCAGCTTATTGTATGTATTATGTGGAGGACGGCAATATTGGAAATATTATGTGGAGGATTGCACAAGATTAAATATTACAGTGCATCAATTAGTGTACTCAAACACTTTCCTACCAATTTCCTAAGCAATACTTATGAGATAATATTGGACCAGATACACAACACATCTAGACTTGAAGCTCAATTTGTTTCATCCTTAATGTTGATCATATAATGAAAATTAATATAGTTTTTCGTTACTTAATTATTTAGATTTGTATTATTTAATTTGTAATTATATTTATATTTTAATAATAATTTATTATTAGTATTTAAATATTATTTTTACTTAAAGTTCACCTTGTGCAAGCAATTAATTCTTCTTGTTCCATCATCTGCTCTTTGAGTTTTTCAACAAGCTGAGAATGTTGGTTGATTTCTTCATCTTTGTCATCCAATTGTTGGTAAAGAGCTTCCAACTTAGCTTGCATGGCAACATCTTCAACAGCGCTTGCAACAGCCACAGGCACTGGCTACATAGAATAAAAAAAAATCTAAGTACAATACAAACACTCACGCCTGTCACCCAGAGGGGTAGGCAGAGACTACGGACTTCCATTTGGCGCGATCCTGACACACCTCTCTTGCCTCCTTTACATCCATATACCTACGCATACACGCTCGTCGGTTAAAGGTACTCTTGATTTGGCCCATTTTTAAAATATCGCCAATTTGGTCGATAAACTTTCGCCTAGGGCGACCCTTCCCGACTATGCCGTTCACCTCTGCAACATAAATTTGCTTTGTCACTCTTTCCTCATTCATTCTTTCTACATGGCCAAACCACCGAAGCATTCCTTTTTTAATCCTAGTCACAATGTCATCTTGCAAACCACATTTTTCTCTTATCACACTATTTCTCACCATGTCATTCAAATTCAGCCCTAGCATACTCCTTAATGATCACATTTCTACAGCATTTATTCTACTCTCATGCTTCTTCTGCCATACCCAACTTTCACTACCATACATTAAAGTAGGTACTAACACAGCATTATGAATTGCCATGCGTGCCTTCTTTGACACATTCTGACTCTTCATAATAGCGTGTAGAGCCCCATTAACTCTATTTCCTGCGTTCACTCGTCGTTCTATATCCTTATCATATCTACATATCTATGGGATGAGTCGCTCGCGTCCGTAGGCTTCGACCACCTAACCCTAGGCCCACCTTACACGTGTCCCCCGGGTGGTGCTAAACGAGCGACAAAGCCGAAACGATAGACTCGGCTCCTCGCCGTATGGTAGTGGCGTAAAATCTACCACCCCTTAGTTCGCGCCATGAGCCAACAATTTAAAAAAATCTAAGTGATAAAACATAATAGCCAAAAATTTCTCAAGAAACACTTTCGAGCAAAATAGAGAATTTCTAAAATAGACAAACAATAACAAATCTATACAAATAAATAAAATTGGAGTGTCTGTCTGTATATTTGTTTGTTCCAGCTAATCTCTGAAATGGCTTGATCAACTTTTATGGGACTTTCACTGGCACATAGCTTTATAAGTAGTAAATTAGGCTACTTTTATTTTAGAAAAAGAATTAGGGTACCGCACAAAAAAATGAAACCCATGAAATCCAATCATACTAAATTTATGCGGTAGTCGCGGAGAATAGCTAGTTTTAGTCATAAGAACTTTGAATTTTAACCTAAGAATAGCAGCCCTTGTCAAGCATTGGACTTCATTAAATCAATTCACTTACTGGTGCAGGGGGCTTCTCTTCAATAAATGATGTGACAGGAGTAACAGCTTCAATCTCTTGAAGGTTGACTTGTTCTTCTGGTCGAACAGTCTCACCAGAACGCCAGCGGTTAATTTCAGCTTCAAGTTTTTCAACCTAAATTAATTAAAATATATAATTTCCTTACAAATCCAAACTTGTATATTAAAAGTGTTTACGTAAGTAATATAATTTCATACTTTTCCTTTAAGCCTAGCCACTTTCTCCTTCTCTCTTTCATATCGGCGTTTCCATTCCTCAGCTGTGAGTTCTTCATTGACACATACAACATTCTTGACAGTCTTAGCTCTGTTGAATAAAAAATACATGAAAATTCACCCTTACAAAAACTTAACAAAAACTACAAACTGTGACTATGAAATACTTGAATGGAATCTAACCTTTTACCAAAGTCAAGGGTGCTCTTTGTTTCACTTTCGTTAAAGGAAGCTGGGGAACAACAAATAACTATTGTGGTTCTTGCATTACCACCAAGCGATTCTTGTAAAATTCGAGTTAATTTAGAATCTCTGTAAGGTATGTGAGATTTGTTTCCATCTGCTAAAGCAGAGATAACATTACCCAAAGCAGATAATGATTTATTGATATTTTTAGCCTCGTCAAGCACTGTACCTTCAGCACCAGTTTTAGATACCTAAAATATAATTACATTTAGTATCTTAGTTCGAAACTTATTTGAAATTTAAATGTATGCTTTAATTAATAATTATAAACCTTTTCAGAACCAGCCAAATCCACAAGATACAACTTTCCTGATAATTTTTTCTGATTTTCTAAATTTTCTTGTTTTACATTTATAAGGAAGACTGAATGAGATCTGGATGAATGTTCATTCATGTCTGGAAGAAAAGTAAAAAATAAAATTGAAATCTTGCAAATATGGCAATGAAAAATGAGAAATTCAGATTTTACAGATACAAACTTGTAACTGCAATATGCCTATTTGATTTCCCCTCCTCTATCACTTCAAACACTTCTTCCGGACTTGATACAAACCGTTCAGTAGCACCTTTGACAAATGGGACTCTGTTCTTGTCCTCATGAACACTTAAGTTTACTTTTGAGACTAAAAAAAAAGAGATATTTTGTTTATTTAGTTTAAGTAGGAGAAAATATTTATGCAATAAAGTTAAAGTAATAATGATCATGTTACCGTCTAAGAGATCTCTGATTTTATCCATATAAATTTCAAAATATGATACTTTTATATGGAATTCAAGATTTTCTTCCATTGCATATATGTGATTGAATATATCGTTGACTATCCGTGGAATAATACCCTGTTTTCCTGGATCTCCTGTAAAAATTAAGAATTATGTGATTATCATATAATTTAATTGTTAAATTCATATAAAAATAGAAAATACAATAATAAAGAAATACTCATTACTAACCTATGACACCTTCCATTGTATGTGTTTTACCAGAGCTTGTCTGTCCATAGGCAAATATTGTCCCATTGTATCCAGCCAGTACATCAGACACAATACTCTTTGCTGCTTCATTGTACACTTTTTCTTGGGTTGCATTTGGTTTAAATACTTTGTCAAACAAATAAACTTTTCCCTAGAAAGTATTTTCAAAATTGTACTAAAATTGTAAGTAAAGATTTATTAAAACATTAATGGCCAAATACTCAAACACTGCTCAATTTTAAGATGCTGTTAAATCTTGTGGTGTCACAGTCACTTTAACTTAAAGTGACTGTGACAGCATGATACTTAATGTCATCTTAAAATTGAGCAGCGATTGAGTATTTCGGCATTAAGGTTTAATTTAATTTCATTTAATTTAATTTAATTTTAATTTCATTTAATTTTACAAAAGAAAAAGTAAATGAAAGTGAACTTTAAAATACTTAGGAGTTAATATGAAATAACTAAAATTAATTTAATATAGGCATAAAAAACAAATTTACTCTGAATATTTATTCAGCATTATGCACCCCATTACTTGGTTATTACATAAATTATGATAATATAATTGATTTTCTTGGTAAGTAAATTATTAAATGGGATAAATTTTCCAATATGGACCATCGATTTAAATGCCCATATTTTTTTTTGTAGATAGTACTCATTAAAAGAAAGCGTTTTGTAAAGTTTCAATATGCGGAAACGCATAGTTTTTGAGAAAAAAATTATTGAAAATAAATTATTTTTGCAATATTTATGTCAATGCCTACGGTAAAACTGACACTATTTTGTATTGTCATTGTCATCGTCAGTAGGGATGTCGATTCTTTCCGAAAAAGATCGATTTTTAAATCGATGCAAATCGTAAGCTGATATAAATATAAATATAAATCCATTTTATGAACCATGAAAAACCAGAAAGATACCATAGTAAATAATCTCTTATTGAAATTTGTTTTATTTTAATTTATTTATTTTTATTAGGGCAGATAACAAATAAAATAGGTTAGGTTCAACTTATGTTAAAGAATCGAATTGATTGACCCCGACTACACCTGTTACGAGTCTGTCCTAACCCTAGAGTGGTTATATAGAGCCGGAGGCGCGTAGGGGGAGCAGCCTCCGCCTCCACAGCTTCGGCTTGTTGGTCACTTTCGACGACCAGCCTCAGCCGTTCCGGCTTGTCCGATGCCTACGATTTGTTAGGCAAAGGCGTAGAGGCTGCTCTTCCCGCAGAGCCGGAGAAGTTGCAGTCTCAAAATAGATACAGAAACCCCTTTTAATCAGTCCCCCTATTTTATGTCTGATGAAGGGGATTTTGTTCTCATAAAATGGATTTATATTTCCATTATAAATGCAAACACGAAAAAATATTGAAATTATAGAAATCAATTTTTTTGGGAATCGATACTGCAGCTTACGATTTGAATAGATTTATAAAATCGATCTTTTTCGAAAAGAATCGACATCCCTACTGATGATGAAAATGACAATACAAAGTAGCATCAGTTTTACCGTAGGAATTGACATAAATTTGCAAAAATAATTGATTTTCAATAATTTTTTTCTCAAAAAGTACGCGTTTTCACATATTGAAACTTTGCAAAATGCTTTCTTTTAATGAGTACTATCTACAAAAAAAAATATGGGCATTTAAATCGATGGTCCATATTGGAAATTTTAAATGGTATCAAGGGATCAGTAAATATTTCTTCCCTTAAGAGGTTTCCCATTAACATGGTTTACTAGTTAGAACAGTTTTTATATTTCAGTAATGTTATTTATGGTTATAGTAAATTAAAATTAATTTATTCAATGCTAAAGTATTTAATTTTTTTTAGTCATGAAATTCAAATCAAAATTTCAATTCAGGATCACATTATTCTTTAATTATATTGTTTAAATTGAAACACAAAAGTTAATAATAAATTCACGTAAATTTTACTACTTTGATAGAAAATATAAAAATATTATTGCAGAAATACAATAGGGCAGGCGGTAAACAAATATAAGCTCCAGTTTTACAAAATATAGGAAGGATACCCTCAGGTCAAGGTCGAGAAAATATTTGTATTGATTTTCGAGACAGCACAGTTACGTGCCCGATTTGGTTAAAATACAAAGAAATACTATAAATTTTCGCGATTGCAATCTTAACCACCGAAGCGTAATAGAAAAGAAAGGCCATTTCGTAGCAGGTGAACACAAGTCATAATGTATTAGTCATCATGATCTAAATTAGGGCGATGATAGAGAATATAAACCTTTATTGTAATATAATGTTTTACATACCCCTATGGAAATACAGTTATCATCTGGGCCTGAAGGAAACTTCACAATAAATTTAGAACCAGCTTTTTCTTCAGAATCATTTAGGGGTCGAAATCGGCAAACGACTCTAATGCTGTCTTCAGCAGCTATTTCACGATCAGCTGCCATTTTTCAAATTAATAAGCCTACACTAAACACCGTCTATGCAATAAAAAAAAATAAAACTTTAATGGAACATAAAACCGTGCATGAAGAACTACAAAGATAAAATTTTGTCACTGGGAAATCTTCATGACAGCAATATCAAAATGTCGGCCATATTAATCTTCAAAGAAGAAAGGCCTGAAACTGGATGTTTATTGGTTGGATAACCGAGACTTAGCCAACGTCAAGAAAAAAATCAATCAGTAACCAACATTATCATAAATATAGTATGCGTTCTTGATTACAAATTAAATATTTAATTATATTATAATCTATTATTTATTTATAGGATAATTAATTTAATATACGTGATAAAATTACACGAGTAATTTATTACATTTGTTAGTTATGAAATACCTAAAAGTTGGTATCCGGTTGGTAAATCTACAATTACCAAAACAGGTATGTTTTTCTTTTTTCATATTATGTAGGTAGTCTACAAATCTAAGCAAGATATTTTTGTGGTGTATCTACTACCAACTCTGAACTACGTGTACTACGTACAGAATTCCATGTTTATAAGAACCAGTAAAAACTACAGCAGTGTATGTCATCTTAATATCATACGGAGCTTTTTCAATAAAAAAAAAATTCCCAGTTTATATACACTGTTTGCGATTCTAATAATTTTATCTTACCCCGGTAATACATGTTGGCTAAGCCTCAACCAACGTGAGCATAGGCAAATTGATACAAGGTGAGTGCTACAGTCTACACGTTGGACAAGTTCGAAAAGAGACAAATGTCAACAGCCAATGTTCACAAGTTTTCATTAAGAATTGGGACGATATGGACGACGTAGAAGTTATTGAAGCTTCTGCCATTTATTTTAATGAATGCATGAATGATGATGAAAGATGAAATCAATGAAAATGAAAGGCAGTGACATCACCGGGATGGACATCAAGCTGTAACTGACGTGGCCGACTAACATATGGACGCGACTTGCCGAGTGCAGGCGAGTGCCTTTGATTTGTGCAGAAAAACCGACACTGTTTCGAAGTGAGATGAATCGTGGCCAGCGATCCTGAGTGCTAACAAGATGTGGCAAAAGAACCATATACACGTTTGCGCTCGCATGCACTCAACCAGCTAGGCAAGCGACGACGAGCAATGGCGAGGCTAGACATTTGTTCTGTCTATACGTTGGTACTCGCCTACGCTCAGCTAACATGTATAGCGAACTTAAGAGAGTCAGGCCTCTAGTACTCTTCCTACCAGCGTGAAATAATTACCTACATTTGCCAGCTGCCCCAGGTGTAGATCGCAGTCGGGGCTGTCGTGCTCTATACAATTGAATGTTAAAGTTTTTTTTTTAACGCTGTTTACGTAAATAATTTTTTTGTAAATACTTATGGAAATACACGTCGAAATAGTATTTGTTTAGTGTTTAGTATATTTAACTGTAGCATAAAATAGTTGAAAAAGTTTAATGTAATTTAAGAATAATATATATATATAATCTATCTATTTGATAAATTATAATAACAAAACGTCGTTCCTACTATAATTGTTGCGGGGATGGATACTTAATGAGCAATTAAAAGGATTCAGATAATATATAATTTTTTGAGTTAACGACGGATAATGAAAGGTAAATTTATTTCATTTTTTGTTAGATAGGTACTTATAGCGAAAAAATAATTAAGTAAGAATTTAACTACAGAAGTAATACCTAAGTACTTTATTATAAACTTAGATGAAATTTACTTCACTACCCAAGTACCTACTTACATACATATACTCGTCTTTGTAATTAAAATATTTTAAGTTATAATAGCACAAAATACTGAAATTAAAACTTTGTTTACAAGATTTTCAACTAAGTAAATTATGAGCATATTTCTGTTAGGAATCGTATTTCAGGTTTATTTGTTGCTTACGCTATCTACCTATATCCCATAAGAACCAAGCATCGCGATTCCCGACGAATGGCCTTGCAAGTTGCATCCGTTGGGCATAATAGAACTCACATAGTAGATAATATGGTCGATTATAGTCAGCATAGGTACTTTACCTAAATAACTTACCATTTCACAATGTATTTTTTTACTCTTTATTAACAGCCCTTAGCAACCACGGAAAGTCCGTTGTGACGACGACGTAAGGATAAAAGATGCAAAATAATACAGACGCTCGCACGGAGCGATAAAGTTTTATTTAGCTTGCGTGCGCGATTTATCTGATTAATAATAACTATGTAGGCTATTAAAACGTCGGCAAGCAGTCAACATCAAAAGAGTACAACTTCTGTACTTATTTATTCTGTGACAGAGTGCTAGTGAAACTTCTCCTATCGCTATGATTTCAAGCGTACATATAAGAATGGAGTTAAAGATTGTATCAAAAACTTTTCTAGACTCTAAAGAGCATACTAATTTGTCTTACTGTTGGATAAGATACGTAAATGCTACGTAAAAATGAACACAATAGCAAATCAACATTCAAACCTCATCTTCAAATGGCATTTCAATAATCTTTGTAATTGCCTTTAATTTAATCTTGCAAAATTTGATAGATATGATGTGAAAATACTACATAAAAATGAAAGCAATGCATTACTTGCAATTATATTATAGAATTGACCACTATGGAATTGATAATATATTTTAAAACAAAAGAAACTATAAAACAATTTATTAAAGGTACTTAAAACCTCTTTGTTGTAAAAAAAGTTGTGTTTTACCTTGCCAAAAAAATCATAAATTGAGCTTTTCCAACGAGAAATTCTCAGTTGCCCGGAGTCAGGAAGTCAGCGGTGTCTCACCCCTGTGCCTCGGAGCACGTAAAGCCTTTAGTCCTGCTTCTGATCTCTCTCCAGTCGTGTCAGTACACCATTCCATCTAGGCATGAGATATACCTGTAACATTTAATACCCGGCCTCAAAGGTATGAACAGGAACCAGTACGAATTACGATCAGGTATAGGTACGTACGGGGCAATGCAAAAGTCATGCGTTGGGCGTCACAGAACTCACATAGTATCAGAAATAGGGTCAGTAGATCATAGTCAGAATAGGTACCTTACATAAGTAACTTACTTATCATCTCCTAATGTATTTTTTACTCTTTATTGACAGCCCTAAGTAACCACGGAAAGTCCGCCATGACTTAGGAAGGGGAAAAGATGCAAAGTAATATGGACACTCGTGCCACAGCCTAAGAAAGAAGAACAGTCGGTCAGTCATCGCGTTTAATGTTGTCGAAAAAGCGGACATAAGTAATAAAACTTCTAGGGTTGTCACAAAGGAAAGTAATAAAAAATAGAAAACGGATTTTTTTATATTTTACGTTTAAACTAATTAAATAAGTTACCATTGATGTTCAGTAATAATAAAAATAGGTTATAATAAGCAGTTATATAAAAACGTAATTAATAATAAAAATTGTCAACTGTCGTATACAATATAAGCAGTTTATAACGTATCATCATCATCATCATTACAGCCCTTCATAAGTCCACTGCTGAACATAGGCCTCCCCCAAGGAATGCCACAAAGCACGGTCCTGAGCCACCTGCATCCATCGACTTCCTGCATATCTTACCAGGTCGTCACTCCATCTAGTGGGGGGACGCCCAACACTTCGCCTGCCGGTACGAGGCTACCACTCGAGAACCTTTCTTCCCCATCGGTTGTCGGTTCTTCGAGCTATATGGTCGGCCCATTGCCACTTCAGCTTACTAATCCATTGGGCTATGTCGGTCACTCTGGTTCTAATGCGGATATCCTCATTTCTGAGTTTATCACGCAGAGAAACTCCAAGCATAGCCCTCTCCATAGCTCGCTGAGCGACCTTGAGCTTCCTCATCCGGCCAGCAGTGAAGGACCACGTCTCAGTTCCGTATGTCATCACTGGCAACACGCACTGGTTGTACAGTCTCGTTTTCAAGTTTTGAGGTATACCTGACGAGAAGATGTGCCGTAATTTCCCGAACGCTGCCCAACCTAGTTGAATCCGTCGAATGACCTCTCGGTCGAAGTTGGACTTACCTAGTCGGACTATTTGTCCCAGCTAAATATACTCGTCAACAACTTCGAGCTCAGTGCTCCCAACACCTACCGGCATAGGTGTGACATGGACATTAAACATGATCTTTGTTTTGTCCATGTTCATCTTAAGACCTATCCGTTGGGAAGCACTAGAGGTCATTGAGCTTAGTGCTTAGGTCCTCCAGCGATTCTGTCATAAGGACTATATCGTCGGCAAATCGAAGGTGAGTGATGTACTCGCCATTGATGTTGATACCGTATCCTTTCCAGTCCAGAAGCTTGAAAACGTCTTCCAATGCAGCGGTGAAGAGTTTCGGGGATATGACGTCACCCTGTCTTACACCTCTCTGCTATTGGATAGGTTTCGTACTCTGGTTCTGTACTCGGATAGCCATCGTCGTCCTACTGTACAAGCACTTCAGCACTTCGATATACAGACAGTCCACTTGGCACCGCTGAAGGGACTGCAGCACCACCCAAATTTCGACGGAATCAAAGGCTTTCTCATAGTCCACATACGCCAGACATAGTGGCAAATTGTACTCCTCTGACTTTTGTACAATTTGCCGAAGGGTATGTATGTGGTCTATGGTGCTAAAGCCTTTTCGGAAACCGACTTGATCGGGAGGCTGGAAGTCGTCAAGTCTGCGCGCGAGACGATTCGTAATGACTCTCGAAAACAGCACGTAGACGTGGCTCAGAAGGGAAATTGGTCTGTAGTTCTTCAAGAGAGCGTTGTCGCCTTTCTTGAGGAACAAGACCACCGCACCTCTGCTCCACGCCTCCGGTGTAATGCCACCATGGAGGGCGGTATTAAAGAGCCTCTGAAGGACTTCAAGTACCGGTTTTCCACCCGCTTTCAGAAGCTCCGCTGTAATTCCATCCTCGCCTGGGGCCTTGCCGTTTTTAAGGTGCTGGAGAGCTAATCTCGCTCATACTGACGTCCGTGATATCTATGGAATAATGTCGGATA